TTTTATTTATTTTTTTCGTGACGTGACCGTCAGGTACTTAACGAATTTTCGATAACGGAGAGTGCAAAATGTACTAAAATAAAATATTATGGTGCGATATAATCAAAATAAAAAAGTGAAGGTGCAAAGTGGCAGTTAGTAGGGTGCATTTTGGCATTTAAAACTTTGCAAAATTGTTAATGTCTTATATACCCTAAAGCATAAATCTTCCAGAACAATAAAACACAAAATACACTTTTCCTATACATCTTTAATTATAACCACCCTTCAACCATGAATCTGTTTACATCATACATATAGAACCGTGGGTGCGGGTAATTGAACGGGAATCAGATCCAATTGATTTTTTTTTCCAAAATCCGATTGAGATGAAAAATTCAAATTTAATAAATTTTTTAATATAAAAATTATTTGGAAATAATAAATTTGTAACAAAACGGTCAGACCGACAGTTGAACAACAAACCGACCGGTTCGCAGGGCAGTCCGGTTTTTTTAACATTACTCAAACCGCTCTTTGAAATGAAATGAAATGAAAAAAAAAAAAAACAAACCAAACAAACCAAACCAAACCAAACAGCCTGTTTGCCCTAGAAAATATCTATACTATATATAAAAATACGAATAAGGGGAAACTTTATGTTTTCGGATTGTACCCTTATTTTTAAAATATATTTCCAATTATACCTTTTTTAAAAAACATATTTCTAAATTGCCATTACTAAATAATATTTTTAATTATTCCATAATTTTTAACCATAAATTATTCCATTATTAATTATTAGATTATATACTCCCTCAGACCCTAATTAGATGTCTATTCTTGGTCAACAGACACTAAATTTTGACCATTGATTATAAAAAAATATTTAAAATTTAACTTTAAAAAAATATGTGTTGAAAAGTTTGTAATTCAAAGTTTATAAGTGTTATTTTTAAAAATTATTTTGCTTTATATATTTTTTATAAACAATGGTCAAAGTTTAGTATTTGTTGACCAAGAGTGGACATCTAATTAGGGACGGAGGGAGTAATACGTATATTAAATTATAAGAAAGTCAATTTGACTTTTTGTTTCCAACGTCCTATTTAATTTGGCAAATTATACAATACACCGTCGGTGGAGTTTAGAAGACTACACAAGCGGGTCCTGAAGGGTGACATGTGTCCCATAGGGACTAGATTGAAATATTTAAAACTTAATTAATTAAAAAAATGGACATGTGTCAACTCCACAACCCGCTTGTGGAGTCCAAAATTTACACGGCCAGTGTATCAAATAATTATCATTTAATTTTGCCTTTTGTCTTTGTTTCCAACCGTATTTAATTTTGCTTTTGTCTTTATCTCCAACGTCTTATATGGGCTTAGATAAGCAAATTTGCAATGGGTCTTTGCTTTGGATGATCCAATTTTTCATTCCTATAGAGCCTTTTTTTTGTCCGTTTTGGTGGGCAATTAGTTTGAATATTCAGATCCAATATATATCTTATTAGGCCATGACTTTATAACTATCTATACTATATGTAAAAGTACAAATAAGGGGAAACTTTACGTTTTCCTATTGTATCATTTTTTTTCAAATATATTTCTAAATTGCCATGCTACTGCGATGCCTAATAAGGTCAGTTATGGGAATTCTAACAAGAGGAAGAAGAAGCAGCGAAACGGTAATAGGAGATTGGGGCAACGAAACCACTTTGATAACGATAGGGCGTGAGCGCAGAACCTCTTTGATCCCTTGTTATGTATTCAGAGAGATTCAGGTATGACAAGTCAATGAAATGCTCAATTAAATAATAATTTAATTATTTTACTATGAAAATAATATAAATTTATATTATCCTCATTAATTAGGGTCCAACGTGACCAATAGGGATGCCCCACATCATCTTTAGCATCTGAATTTTCGTCCAAAACATTCTCCAAGTCGGTTTAGGAAAAGATCAATTTTGTACAGAAATTACAAAGGCAAAATCGTCCACCGAAACGGCAAAATTAGGTCTCAAGAACATAAAAGTTCTAGATCTCAGAATCCTCTTTCCAATAATACATCATTTGCATTTTTTTGAGCTCTAAATCAAAAGTTATGAATTTTTTTTTTCTAAAACTGCTCTTGTGAAGTTCTCCTTTCAATAGAAATTAACAATGCTGTATCATGACTGAATCATTATTGCATCATAATTACTAATTGGACTTGACTCCTTCTTTGGGCTTCCATATTAACGAATTGGGTCTAAGAATATCAGATTTAAACTTCAAGTCATCTGGTTTGACAATTTGGACTACATAGACTCAAACGAGCCTAATGGGTCGAAAGGAGACAAAATCAATAGTTTCTCCAAAGCTATTTATACTATATATAAAAGTACGAATAATGGAAAACTTTATATTTTCCGATTGTACCTTTTTTTCAAATATATTTATAAATTGACATTATTAAAATTTATTATTTGAAAATTAATTATAAAATTTCAATTTAGACTGAATTATAATTTTGTAAAATTGATTTTCATTGATGAACATGCAAATTTCTACGAATAATGGGAAACTTTATGTTTTCCAAATAATGGAAAACTTTATATTTTCCGATTGTACCATTTTTCAAATATATTTATAAATTGACATTATTAAATTTATTATTTAAAAATTAATTATAAAATTTCAATTTAGACCGAATTATAAGTTTGTAAAATTGATTTTCATTGATGAACATGCAAATTTCTGCGAATAATGGGAAACTTTATGTTTTCCGATTGCACCCTTTTTTCTAAATATATTTCTAAATTTCCATTATTAAAATTTAGTATAATTTCATTGTTTAAAAATTAATTAAAAATTTCAATTTAGACCAAATTATAAGTTTGTCAAATTGATTTTAGTCGATGAACATGCAAATTTCCTTTACTATTATTTTTTGAATTTAAAATTTTACTTTTAATTTCAATTTTTAAATGTTAATAAAAAGATTAAACTAACACTAACACGTACAATACTATTGTTAGTGAAGCTCCATCTCTTCGTTATTTAATGTTTTGCCGCATTCACTTTGTTCAATTGGAAATTGTTGAGTTAGAAGAGTATGTGATATTATGATTTTGATTTTCTTGTCTCTATGTGGTTATCAAAATTTCATAAGATGGTTATTATAATTCCATGAGGAGGTTATCAAAATTCCATAGTGTGGTTACCAAAATTTCATAGTGTGGTTACTAAAATTTCATAGTGTGGTTACCAAAATTTCATAGGATCAGATTATTAAAATTTCTTAGGTTGGTTATTGAAATTTCATAGGGTGGTTAATCATCACAATTTTATATAAAGATTATCAAAAAGATTTCAAAATGTCATAGCGAGGTTATACGAATTTTATAGTGTGGTTAACAAAATTTTATTAGTAGGTTACTAATATTTCATTGGGAGGTTATCAAAATTTTATAGTGTGGTTATTAAAATTTTATATGAAGGTTATAAAAGTCTCAATTTCATAGGAATACCAAAATTTGATAGAAGGTTATCAAATCTTATAGAGTAATTATCGAAATTTCATGAAAATCGGATTATAAAAATTTCAAAGCGAGGTTATCAAAATTACACATTGTGATTATCAGAATTTCATAGAGGGGTCAACAAAATTTTATAAAGAGGTTATCAAAATTTCATAAAGAGGTTATTAAATTTTCATAAAGAGGTTATCAAATTTTCAAAATGTGATTACAAAAATTTCATAGTGGTATTTCTGGGGAGATTATCAAAATTTCATAGTGTGGTTACCAAATTAGGAAGGTTATTAAACTTTTATCATGGAGTAATCAAAATTTCAGAGAAGATATCAAAATTTAGGGAGGATATCAAAATTCAGGGAGGATATCAAAATTTCATATGATGGTTATCAAAATTTCATAGTTTAGTTTTCAAAATTTCATAAGAGGATTATCAAAATTTCATAGTATGTAGATCAAAATTTCATAGGGAGATTAACAAAATTTCATAATGAGGTTATCAAAAAATCATAGGGAGCTTATCAAAATTTGTAGTTATCAAGATTTCATAAGAAAGTTATCAAAATTTTATAGGGAGGTTTATCAAAATTTTATGGGAAGATTTATCAAAATTTTTCATAGCGAGGTTATCACAATTTCATAGTGTGATTATCAAAATTGTGATTACTAACAATTCATATGAAGGTTTTTAAATTTTCATAACGTGGTTATCAATATATCATATGGAGGTTATCATCATCTCATAGTGTTGGTTATCAAAATTTCATTGGGAAGTTATCAAAATTTCATATTGAGATCTTCAAAATTCCTTAGGGAGTTTAACAAAATTTCATAAGTTAAAAAAAAATTATAAAAAGATTCTTGAAATTCTATAGTATCGTTATTAAAATTTCATAGTAAGGTTATCAAAATTTCATAATGAGATCATAAAAAATAGTGTAATTATCATAATTTAACAAAAGGTTATCATAATTTCATATGAATATTTTATTTAAACACGTTGCGCCAACGCAGGTGATAGCTAAAACTAGACTTTATAAAACATTCAGGCATTCAGGCAGGCCGCAGGCATATCTTTGGAGAGAGAAAAAAAAAGAAAGTTTGTTATGAGTGGATCATATCAGTTAGCATTCCGGGTGAGATTTGCAAAGAAATCCTGGAGAGATTACCGGGCAAGTCCCTCCTACGGTTCAAGGCAACGTGCAAACCATGGAAATCTTTGATCTCTGATCCCTCTTTCGTCGACCATCACTTGAATCAATCAGCCGCCACATGCACTAAACTTGTAATCTTCGAAGACTTGGAAAACAACTCATCACTCTCGGTCCAATTACTCGATTTCTGTTGGTATCAGAACCCGTTGATTTTTATTGATCTTTTCTGCAAAAGCATAAGTCTAGTGGAACCGTAGTGAGTCTAGGAAATTCTTTTTGAGTCACTTATAATCGTGTTTGTGATTCCTTTATGTTATCTAAATAATATGATCTTTTGTAGAGATATGCCACCAAGAAAAGCTGCCGGTCGAGGTCGTGGACGAGGGCGAGGGCGTCCCCCATTACAAAGGGTCCCTCCCCTGTTGCACGCAAATCCTGAGGAAGAATCCTCTGTGCATTCTACCCCCAGTGAGGATAATGGGGGCAATGATGACTTACCATCACCGCCGCAAGGGCAACAGGTGCCACCTCCACCTTGTCCCCCTTATGACGCATTTATGGATTGGCAGCAGAGATATGGGGCCCAAGTTCCACCATTCGGGGCCCAAGTTCCACCTTATGGGGCTGCCCAACCTTCAGCTGGTTTTGGGTACCAGTTTCCTCCTCCCCCAACTAATTTTACTTCTGGTACTGCTTTCGGTGGTCCTACTCCACTTTCTAAAATTTTAAAGGAAGTGAGAAATTTAGGGGTTGACACTTTTGTGGGTACAAAGGATGCTATTAAAGCCAAAGATTGGTTGGATTCTGTCACTAGTGCTTTTGAGGATATGAATCTTGTGGAGCCTCAACGAGTGAAAATAGCATCGAGATTGCTAGATGAAGAAGCAAAGGCTTGGTGGGTCAGTGTAAAGGACCGTACACAGGGGGGAGTAACCTGGGAGATGTTCGTATCAGAATTTCATAAAGAATATAACTCCAGGTTTGAAAAGACTCGCATCTCGGTGAATTCATGGGACTAAAGCAAAGCGATATGTCAGTCAGTGAATTTGATAGTAAGCTAAGGAGGTTGGCCAGAAATATGCCCACAGGTTGTTTGACTGAGGAGTTGTTGCGTACCCGATTTGCTAGCGGGTTGAATGTTGAGCTGCAGTCTTCTATAGCTTCACTGATTACAGATGAATCAAGGATTGTGCCATACAATCATTTAGTTGATACGGCCAAGCAAGCAGAGTTAGTGGCAGAGGCAGCTCGAAAGACAAAACAGAAATCTGGGTTTTCAGTAGAATTTTTAAGGGAAAGGGCAAGAGACATGATACAGACTCTACATTTGAGCCATCATCGAAAAAGAGCCGTAGTTCAGACTCCTCTGGTGGGGCGTCGCTTGGTAGCTCTGTTGGTTCCCCACAAGCCTCTCGTTTTGGCAAGTCCGCTAAGGGGACTAGCTACAATAATCAATCTACAAAGAAAAGAAATGTTTGTAAGAACTGCCGCAACGATCATGATGGACCTTGCCATTCCCTACCAGGTGTTTTCAATGTGGTAGTCAGGATCACCTTCGTAAGGATTGCCCGCGTGTTCAGGGCACTCAGAGTCAAGCCGGTCAGGGTGGCCGAATCTTTAATACCCGTCAACATACTATTGCTGCCCACATAGCCTCTGATAGAGGAATTTCTGAGTCGGGGTCCAACACTCGGGGCAGAGTTCAGACCCGACTCTACACTATGACACGTGAAGCTTTAAGTATTTATTTATTATACTTGAATTTTCATTAAATCATCTTCCTTGCTCATCTAATGATTAAGGTCAATAAATTTATTATCATATGTCATGCATAACCCTTAGGTACTGTTGTACTATTCCGGAATTATGCGAGAGCTTTGATTGATACTGGGTCAGAGCACTCGTACGTAAGCTATGGGTTCGCTCAGTATGCCAATGTACCATTGTCTCCGCTAATCCCACAATTAATTGTTCAAACGCCATTCTTAGAGAGCTTGCTAAAGACAAATGTGTTTAAAGATTGTGATTTGCTTGTGGGTAATGTGGTGTTTGAAGCGGATCTCATTCCATTGGAGATTTATGATTTTGATGTGATTTTGGGAATGGATTGGTTGAGCAGGCATGGTGCCCAAATTGATTGCCAAACCAAGACCTTGATGTTAAAGAAACCTGACTACCCGGTGATTGAATTTCCAGGTGAGTTAAATGTTTTGAAGACTCGCCTCATTTCGGCTGTCAAGGCTAGGAAATTAATAAGTAAAGGGTGTTTGACTTTTCTAGCCCATGTTAAAGATTTGTCACTCCCTAGTGAAGATTGTAGTAACATTCCAGTGGTGAATGAATTTTTTGATGTTTTTCCGGATGAGTTGCCGGGTTTGCCTCCAGATAGGGAGTTTGACTTTGCCATTGATGTTGTGCCTGGCACGAACCCAATTTCTATTCCGCCATATAGAATGGCACCTGCTGAGTTGAGGGAATTGAAGATTCAGTTACAAGAACTGTTGGATAAGGGCTTTATTAGACCGAGTACCTCCCCTTGGGGTGCACCGGTCTTGTTTGTTAAGTAAAAAGGATGGGAGCTTGCGCTTATGTGTGGATTATCGGTAGTTGAACCGGGTGACTATTAAAAATAAGTACCCATTGCCGAGAATTGATGATTTATTTGACCAACTTCGGGGAGCCGGTGTGTTTTCAAAGATTGACCTGAGGTCGGGTTATCATCAGTTAAAGATACGGCCGGGAGATATTGAAAAGACGGCTTTCCGAACTAGATACGGTCACTATGAATTTTAGTTGATGTCTTTCGGTTTGACTAATGCTCCAGCGGCTTTCATGGACTTGATGAACCGAATTTTTAATCCGTATCTAGACAAGTTTGTGATTGTGTTCATCGATGATATATTGGTGTACTCTGCAAATGAATATGAACACGCCCAGCACCTTCGCATAGTTCTCCAGATTTTGCGGGAACATCGGTTGTATGCGAAGTTATCCAAGTGTGAGTTTTGGCTTACCCAAGTTGCTTTTCTAGGGCATATTGTTTCCAAGGATGGAATATGCGTGGATCCAGCTAAAATTGAAGCTATTTTGAATTGGGAGAGTCCGAGAACTGTTACGGAAATTAGAAGTTTCCTTGGTTTAGCAGGGTATTACAGGCGGTTCGTGGAAGGTTTCTCTCTGATTGCTGCACCGCTTACACGGTTGACTCGGAAAGGAGTACCGTTTGAGTAGGATGACAAGTGTGAGAAGAGCTTCCAAGAACTTAAGCAACGTTTGGTGTCTGCACTGATCTTGACACTTCCCACTAGTGGTAGGGGTTATGTTGTGTATAGCGATGCTTCTCAGCAAGGCTTGGGGTGTGTACTCATGCAAGATGATAAGGTGATTGCTTATGCTTCTCGACAGTTGAAGAAACATAGAGGAAAACTACCCCACTCATGATTTGGAGTTGGCCGTAGTGGTTTTTGCTTTAAAAATTTGGAGACACTATTTGTATGGGAGCAATGCCAAGTTTTTACTGATCATAAAAGTCTTAAGTACTTGATGACTCAGAAGGAGTTGAACTTAAGACAAAGGAGATGGTTGGAACTGATTAAGGATTATGATCTTGTTATTGACTATCATCCGGGTAAGGCCAATGTTGTAGCAGATGCTTTGAGTCGGAAGTCATCCACCACCCTGGCTAGAATCAACTCTTACCTTCCTCAACTAGTTGGGATTCGCTCTGTGGGAGCAAACCTTATTGGTGGCTATCAGGGGACCCTCCTAGCTAGGTTCGAGGTTCGGCCGACCTTGGTGGATCAAGTTAGGGATTCACAAGAAGTGGATGAAAAACTAAGTGCAGAATTGGAGAAATTGTACTTGGGGATGCCTAGTGAGTATTCTCTTCGAGATGATGGAGTTTTACAAAAACTTGGCAGAGTGTGTGTACCGGACAATGAGGAGTTGAAACAGGCAGTCTTAGAGGAGGCTCATTCCTCGGCTTATGCTTTGCACCCAGGAAGCACTAAAATGTACAGGACAATCCGTGAAAGCTATTGGTGGTCGGGTATGAAGAAGGACATTGCGGAGTTTGTATCCCGGTGTTTGGTATGTCAACAAGTGAAGGCCGAACATCAGAAGCCCGCTGGGACCCTACAACCATTACCGATACCGGAATGGAAGTGGGAACATATTACTATGGATTTCATTTCTGGGTTGCCGAGAACTCGTCATGGTCATGATGCCATTTGGGTGATTGTGGATCGGCTTACTAAGTCTGCACATTTTCTCCCGGTGCGAATTACGTTTAGCACCGAGAGGTTAGCTAGACTTTACGTGGCCGAAATTGTTCGACTGCATGGTGTGCCTGTTTCTATAGTGTCGGATCGAGATCCCAGATTTACATCTCGATTTTGGCCTAAGTTACAATACGCCATGGGGACAAGGCTAAAATTTAGCACTGCTTTTCATCCCCAAACTAATGGTCAGTCTGAAAGGACTATTCAGACATTGGAAGACATGTTTCGGGCTTGTATACTAGAGTTTCAAGGTAGTTGGGATGACTATGTGGCTTTAGCGGAGTTTGCATACAACAATAGCTATCAAGCTAGTATTGGCATGGCTCCGTATGAAGTACTTTATGGGCGGAACTGTAGAACTCCAGTATGTTGGGATGAAGTGGGAGAACGGAAGTTGTTTAACATTGAGTTGATTGATGATATGGTCGAGAAGGTGAAAATGATTCGAGACCGCCTTAAAGTAGCACAAGATCGGCAAAAGAGTTACGCCGATCACAGACGGAGAGATCTAGAGTTCAGAGTTGGTGATGCAGTTTTCTTGAAAGTCTCCCCATGGAAAGGTGTGATTCGGTTTCGCAAGGGTGGAAAGCTCGCTCCTCGTTACATTGGACCATTCGAGATTGTAGAGCGGATTGGTCCAGTGGCTTATAGACTAAACTTGCCCTCGGAGCTTGGGCGTATCCACGATGTTTTCCATGTGTCTATGTTGAGGAAGTACGTTCCAGATCCATCTCATTTTTTACAAGCGTTGCCGGTTGAACTAGATGAAAAGTTGAATTTTGAAGTGCAACCCGTTGAAATTTTGGACCGACAAATGAAAAACCTTCGAAATAAGCAAGTTTCGATTGTGAAAGTTCTTTGGAGGAGTCAAGCAGTTGAAGAGATGACTTGGGAGCCTGAGGAAGCTATGCGCAAGCAATATCCGCACCTTTTTGGTTATTAAGGTACGTTCGTTTATAATTTCGCGGACGAAATTCTTTTAAGGTGGGGAGAATTGTAATACCGTAATTTAATCTGAGTGGAAGAATTTGGAGGAAATAATTAATTTTTATACCAAATTGATAAGATTGGAGAATTGAAGGTTTTATATGAGAGAATTAATAAGTTTTGGGGGTAAGTTGGTCTTTTGACCCGTTGCTATTTAAAGGCCAATTTCCCAATTTTTTTTGGCTCAAATTTTTCCTCCTCATTTCCTCTTCATCTTCATAACCGAACCCTCCTTCTCTCCAACTCCTCTTCAATTTTTCTTGACCCAATCTTACATGCATTGAAGAATTTGTAGTCATCTCATCTTCCTAAACCTATTAGTACCCTTATGTAAGTAGATTGGTGGAAGAACATGGGTGTTTTAGCTTAAAGAAGGAAGTATTGGTGGGTAAGATTTAAATCCTTAGTTTCTTTTGATTAATAGTTGTTAGAGGCTTTGAATGTTATTGTTGATATAATTAATTGGTATGTTTGAAGATTTTCTTGGAGTAAAGAGGAAAGTGGATGAACATCAAGCTTTGGGTAAGTAAATGAATTCTTGGATGAATTTTAATGGTTGTTTAGGGATGAATTGATGTTGGGTTTGTTAGAAATTAAGATTAGAATGCATTGGGTGTGTTAAA